AAACTCTCTGGTTCTCTCTAGACATGGGTGGTTCTCCGTATTTTACTGGAACAGGCTTAAAATTTGCCCCTACGAACTGCCCGATTCTCTCTAGACTCTACAAACTGCCCGGTTCTCTCTAGACATGGGTGGTTCTCCATATGTTACTGGAACGGGCTTAAAAATTGCCCCTAACTAGTGGCTAAAAGATCACCGAATTGGGTGGTTCTCTATATTTTAGAGGAGCCGGCTTGAAATTTGCCCCTACGAACTGCCCGGTGAGTCTAGGAGTCGGCCGATTCGATACGGGAATCGGTCACCCCCGTCATTAACAGTGGCAAACTAGCCGAGTGGATGAAAAAACTAGCCGAGTCGGGCATAGACACATGGATGCAAACTAGCCGAGTTAGGCATAGACACGTATACACGCGTGAGCATGCACGCAACAGCGTCCACGGTGCGCATGCCTTCCACACGCACAATGTAACACATTACCCGTGAACAATTTATAACTACAATTCTTTTCCATAGGCTTCGATGTGGATATTTAGCTAGGCGGTCTTGAGAAGCTAAATCAATATATATATATATATATATATATGTTATATGAAAGTAAACAAATACGTTGCAATGGTATGATGGGTCGCTCTTTTAATTTTTTTGCTAGGGGTTGTAGGTTTGAACCCCCTCTCAATCGCAGTACATTTTTTCGTCAAAAAATTATCTTGACAAAAAAAAAAATATTTTAACAAAAAATTAATTTTTGTTAAAAAAAAAAAAGTTACTTTAGCAAAAAAAATAAAAGTTATTTTGAACAAAAAAGTTACATTGATAAAAAAATAAAAGTTATGATAAAAATGAAATAGTCTATAATTCTTTTTATTTATTTTTAAGATTTAATATTTTTTAATATTAATTATATATTTATTTATTTATTATGATATACAAATATAAAGTACGTATAATATTTAATTATATATAATTACAAAAATAAAATGTTATATAATAATTTACAAAAATTAACTTAATCATATGAAATTGTTGTTTGTTTATGTGAATAACTTAAATATAATTATGTTACTTTTTTGTCAATATAATTATTTTTATATACAGTAAATTATTTTTAAATTATATGAAAGTTTTTTACTAATATTTTTAAATTATTTTGATTTAATATTGTAATAGTATATTATAATTAATAGTTATAATTCGGGATTTAAAAAACAATGAGTCAACTCGGTGGTGGTAATTACATTATATGATAAAAAATGGAAAATTAATAATAATAATAATTGGGTGCTCATCACCCCTATCTTTAACCAAAAAAATCTAAATTTACCTACCCAAATAAAACATAAAAATTCTATTAGGCTATTATATCATGAGATTATTTTATTATATAATTAATAATTAATTAAGTAGTTAACTGAGATTAAAAATGAGTACTAGCTCATAGGATATTAAAAAAATAATAATAATAATTCTAGTTTATTGAATATTAAAAAATATTAGTTTAGAGGATATTTTAAGAGAGAAAAATAACACTAACTCATAGCACTTTAGAATTTATTTTTACATTGATAACCAAATCTTTTATTTTTTATTTTTTAATTTACTTGCATTGTAAATTATGTGATATACTATTTTTTCTTTCAATTGTCAATAATACATTTTAAATTAAATGATATTATAAGGTATTTTGGATTTGTTATTATTTGTATAATAAAATAAACTATAAAATATAAATCAACAATTTCAATTTCAGTATATAATACTATAGTTAGGTTGTTAAAATTTGAGTTTTTTTAGCGGATCACCAATTCGAGATTTTGGTGGCCATTTTTTCATCGATTTAATCCATTCTTTATTATAGTCCAGTATAATTCATCCGTAATAATTCTATTATTTTTCTTTTGTGTGATGTAAATTTATGAGTTAACCTAAGTTCATACAGAGAAAGAATATCTCAATATTCACATATTGATGAAAAAATGAAAGTTAATATTGTAATACCTTCATTTTTTATTGGATTCCTAAAAAACAATATTTATAATAAATTTTGATAGTTTTTTTAGTTTTTTTTTAAAGCGATCGATTCAGTCGATTCCCGATTCGGATCGTCGATTCACCTGTCCAAATGGGTTTTTGTGATGCCCGATCCGGGGCACCAATCCGTTTTTTAAAGCAATGCTTCTATCAGTGTTTAAAAAAACACCGAGTCAAACCCGACTCGCCCGGTTCGACTCGGGAATCGGCACTGGCTGTGCCGGTTCCAGCCTTTTACACGGAATCGCCTGATTCCAGAGAGAACCGGGCGATTCTGTACAGTGAATCGACGAGTCACCGTATGGACTTGGCGAGTCCTATGAAGAACACGGGCTGCATGTTCTTCACGGGTTTCTTCAAATTTTGTCCTTTTTTTATCATTTTTCTTCTGCTTTTTTTCATGTGATCAAATATTCAGGCTTTATGCAGCTTTTTTCAGGCTTTGATGCATTAAATGGTGGAAAAATTTCATGTTTTTGGATCATGAAACTTGCGGGTTTTAGGGTTTCCGCTTTTCCTTTTGTTTCATGTCAAATAGGGCATGAATCTGTGAAAATTTTGAGGCATATTGATAGTACATGTGTTCATTAGAAATTTATATTACGAATTTGTGATTATCTTTGAGAAAAACATATTAATTTGGAAATTGAAGCTACGGGTTCACGAAACCAAATAAGAACTCTGAGTTTTTTTTTTTTTCTGCCATTTGATCAATTTCAATCCATATTTTGAAAATAATCACTTAAATTTGTAGGGTTTGAAATCTCTATCGTGTCTTTTATCATTTACCATATTCAGTTTTATTTAATTTATTCAATTAATGTCTGAGTTTTTAGAAGAACACAGTGATGTCTGTGAAAAATTTTTTTTGCTGTTTTTTTTGTTTTTTTTCGCCTTTCAATCTATTGTTCACGATATATTATAAACAAGATTTCTAGGGCTTTTAAGCGTTATAGTCTTGTTTATAATCAGATGTATTCAATTTTATCTGATTTATTCAATTTGAGTTTCATGTTTTAGTTTCAATGACTGTTGTCTGTGAAGAATTACGTTTTTTTTTTTTTGCTCAATTTAATCGATTTGATTTTGATTTATTGATGATAATGTGTTCATAATTTAGGGTTTTGATACCTTATAGTGTTGTTTATCAAAACATGTACTCAATTGGATGTAATTTATTCGTTTGAAGGTGGATTTTTGAGTTCAAATGGCTGATGTAAGGTGGCTCTGTGAAGAACAGATTTTTTTTTTTTTTAATCCATGATTGAATTTTTTGAAAATTTGTGATTTTTTCGAAAAGATGTGAAAATTGTGACAAGGTTTTGATTATCATGAGGTATTAAACTATATTTTTAATTTTTATTGTTTGAGTTTGCTGTACTTTTTTATTTTGTATTTTTTATCCATGATTGATTTTTTTGAAAAACGATGATTTTCCTAAAAGATGTGAAATCGTGACCAGGTTTTGATTATCATGAGGTATTAAACCATATTTTTAATTTTTAATGTTTGAGTTTGCTGTACTTTTTTATTTTTATCCATGATCGAATTTTTTGAAAAAGAATGATTTTCCTAAAAGATGTGAAAATCGTGACCAGATTTTGATTATCATGAGGTGTTAAACAATATTTTTAATTTTTATTGTTTGAGTTTACTGCACTTTTTTTTTTTTTTATCCTATGATTGAATTTTTTGAAATATGATGATTTTCCTAAAAGATGTGAAAATCGTGACCAGGTTTTGATTATCATGAGGTATGAAACCATATTTTTAATTTTTATTGTTTGAGTTTGCTGTACTTTATTTATTTTTTTTATTTTTATTTTTATCCATGATTGAATTTTTTGAAAAATTATGATTTTCCTAAAAGATGTGAAAATCGTGACCAGGTTTTGATTATCATGTTGTATATAGTGGTATAAATATTTTTGTAAATAATATAAAAGGCATAAAAAATAAAAAATAAAAAAGTTACTTTTTTGTATAGCAATTAATTTTTGTTGTATATAGTGGTATAATTATTTTTGTAATAAAAATTAAAAATAAAAAGTTTATTCTATTTGAAATCTCCATCTTTCTATTAACAATCTCTTTCACTAAATTTATTATAGAAACCTAAAAAAATAAATTTTTGAAAAATTGAAGCGTTATTTCCAAAATTTTTATGCATTTTATTCATTTTTACATTGATAACCAAATCTTTTATTTTATTTATTAATTTTTACATTATAAATCATGTAATGTACTATTTTTCTAACAGTTGTCAATAATACATTTTAAATTAGATAATATTATAAAATATTTTTAATTTATTATTATTTGTCTAATAAAATGATTATAAAATGTAAACTATTAATTATATAATATTATAATTAGTTAGGTAGTAATAATTTTGGATTATAGCTAGTTAGGCTGTAATAATTTGAGTTTCTTTAGCGGATTAGGATTTTTTGCCAAAACGAGATTTTAATGGCCATTCTTTCATTGATTTAGTCTCTTCTTTATTATAGTCCAGGTATAATTATTTATTTTATCCATGATAATTCTATGATTTTATTTTATGTGATGCAAATTAATATTTAAGTTTATGTAGAGTATCTCACTATTCACAAATTGATGAAAAAAATGAAAGTTAATAATATAGTACCCTCATTTCTTATTGGATTCTTAAAAAATAATATAATGAATTTTAATGATTTTTTTGAATTTTTTTAAAACTTTAATCCGATTGATTCAGCCTATTTTCGATTTAAATTGCCGATTTATCGATCCGGATCGAAGTGTCCGATCTGGGTCATCGATGTGCTTTTTAAACCATCGACTTCTACGGTTGAAATCACCGAATCACTTTATCTATTCGGCTTTTAGTCGGGGCGACTTATCGTTACGAACCGCCCGGTTCTATGTAGACGGGCGGTTTTTTCTATTTTGCTGGAACCTCCGGCGAAATTATTCGGCGAAATAAACACTCGTGCTTTATTGGGGTCCTCATTTATTCGGCCCTTCATGCAGCTCTTCCGGCTAAACAAAAGCTACTGCTTCTTTAGGGTCCTCCGGCATAAACGCTCCGGCGAAATAAACACGAAGCCCCTTCATGACCCTTCCTAGTATCTTTTTTCTCCGTAATTGCTAGGTTTTATAGTCACTCGATCACTGTGTTTTTTAGGGTTTTCTTTTCTGGTGCACAATTGACATTCAATGGCCCGCTCCAATGGGCTCAGGCTCGTATACTTGGTCGCTCGAAGGTCCGCTAATGGCTGCTCATTCGTAGTCCAACCTTCAAATCCTGTACGCCTTAGAATCTGTTCATCTTCTATGAAAAGATTCCACTTTCATCTATCTTCTCTAATGTTGATGGTTTGTCTCTCATGAATCATTATTGTCCTGATGGTTTGTCTCTCATGAATCATTATTGTCCTTGCAGTTGAAGGATGTGACCCGGCATTGGAGCTCGTGGGCTCGTTCTGGAGCTCGTTCTGGAGCTTGCGGTTGGGGATTCGATACTGGTGCGTAATTGGAATGGCCGGGGTTTTGCTTGGTTTACAAAGTGGAAATGAAATTTGACACGTTTTAGCGTTTAATTCAACGCACTAGATTTTGTTTCATGCTTTTTGTTTAATGAGTTTACATATCATGCTTTTTGTTTAATGAGTTTACATATTTCTGGTTAGATGAGTTACATAGGTTTGATTTGAAAAAAGGAGAAAAAAGGGTTCCATTTGAAAGGTGTAGATACAGAGCCTTCACAATGAAAAAGAAAATAGACCTTTTTGGGTTTTAAGTGGTTCTGGGATATACTATTTTCTCAATAGTTATTTGTTTGTTTATTTATTTTTTGGATAGAAAAGTCGGGCTTTTACTTTTGGTTTCTCTACCTTTTTGGGTTTTAAGTGGTTCTGGGTTATAATGTGTTTTCTCAGTTATAGTTATTTGTTTGTTTATTTATTTTTCGGATAGAAAAGTTGGGCTTTTACTTTTGGTTTCTCTTTGGAGGCTTCCAAGCTTGTTTCTTCTGGTGTTCTTTATGGTGGGTAGTGTCTTACACAGATTATTTAATGCTGAGAAGTTTGATTGGATGGCACAATTTTCTTTGGTTGGCATGAAAGGAGATGGACTTTAAAACTTCTCCACTACATGTGGGGCGATAAAAGAGTACTCATCATCGAAACTAGGATTCATGTGGTAGAATGGTTGTTTGGATTTTGGAAAGGATGTGTTTGGGAGAAAATGAAATTTTTTGCAAGATATTCTTTATTGCAAAGAGGTGATAATAAACTCTACAATGAGGAAGTGAGCTTTCTTTTTTTTTGTAGGTTTCCTAACTAGAAGTCTGTGTTATAAGTGTGGATCAATGCTTACCATTGTTATGTAGCAAAGTCCTTTTAGAACAATTGTTGATTATATTATTTTCATTACCTTTTCTTGTCATGTTCGGATACACTCTATCACCGTATTTATTCTTTATATTCGACAAGTTCTCTTGGCTACCAGTCTCCCGGGGATATCTTTTCATACGAAATTTGCTGCTATCATGCCGTGGATAGGGACACCTGAATAACTTCTTCTGCACTTTGAATATGTGCATTTGGATTCACATTTTGTGAAGTTGCTTTCTTATGCAGTCAACCAAAGAAGTGGAGTTTGGGGTCAAGCAATTCATGGAAACAGAAATGCAGCAATTAGGTTGTTTCATGCTACAGGTGTGTCTCGTATAGGGTTGACAATTTTGTTTTCGAGTTTCCTGGAAATCAGCTGAGGTATTTCTAATGATATGTCAGGAACCTGTTCCATGCCTGCAAAGGACTACTATGAAGTGCTTGGAGTGAGCAAAAATGCTACTGCACCAGAAATAAAGAAAGCTTATTATGCGGTTAGTGTCATCTTTTTATTCTTACTACACGTCTTGCTCTGTGGTTGATACTCTCAAAAAAAATTACTCTATTATTATGTTTTGAATATGTTAACATAAAAATTGCTCTATTATTGAATATCCATTATTTCTTGCTATTCTCTTTATAACATATCATGTTGCTATTCTCTTTATAACATATCATGTTGGAATTCTCGAAAGAATTTAAGTTTATGATTTGTGAGGGCTCAAGAAATGAAACTAGTAGTACATGGTTGAGGATATAAGTTGCAGTTCCTTGCAAATAAAACTCCAAATAGTCCACATACTTGAAAACCCATGGCCTTACTTTTTTTTGAAGGTAATGCATGACCAGGCTACATCTTTCACTACTTCATTGACACTGACATTCTCGTTTTCTGAACAGCCGTTTTAAGTAAAGAGATTACATCGGTTTCACAGAGCATGCAACAAAAACACATCCAGAAATAAAAGGAACAAATAAAGATGAAAAAAAAGGTGGGAAACTGGGGGGGGGGGGGGAGTACAATCCTTAATTGAGAGAATATTGCCTTCTATTTTCTCCTGGGCAAAAGAACCACCTCTACCCCACCAATGGATGTTATAATGGAAATGTGCTATACTTGAAGAACAATTTATGTGCACCTTTCTTGTAAACTGCAAGTGAAGGGAATTAAGAGAAAATTAGCCAATACTTTGTAACATTAGGCTCACTAAAAGTTTGGTTACAAAATATAAATCATAAGCTGTTATATGTTGAAATATTAATCTATGCATGACTTTTTCTAATTTATCTTTCTCTGCTTTCTTGAACGGATTGTAGCTAGCGAAGAAGCTCCATCCCGATACAAATAAAAATGACGCAGATGCTGAGAAAAAGTTTCAGGAGGTTCAACGAGCGTATGAGGTGGTTCTTCAGCTTAGAAATGTATCTTTAATGAAAGGTTTGTCAAAGTAGCTGACCTTTACACCTTTGGGCTACTTTGTAGGTTCTGAAGGATGATGAAAAACGATCCCTTTATGATCAGGTATGGTCATACTAATTCAGATTATCTTGCTTTATTTCTGGATTTGTCCTTCATATTCTGGTGTTTTAGCTTCATTTATGGAAGGATTGTTTTAATCCTGTTATCTTTTGCTTCTCACAGATATGTGCATGTATGTTGTCATTTCTGTTCAGTATGGGTGTCAGTGGGACTTTTTGCAAATTATTACGTTAGTTTTTAGAATGATAGTCAGAGGTATTCACACTTGCATGATTTGGGGCATCTATAGAAGAACTACTTTGGAGTTTGATTAATATTAAACCTCGGTTTTTCTGTCAGTTGATAACATTACTTTATAATTCCTATCACTTAAACAAACAATAAAAAAAATGCTGATCAATTATATACATTGAAGTAACAAAACCATAGTAAGCATGTATTATGCCTCTAATATTCTTTAGTATTATCGAGTGGTTCCCTTCGAAAATAGTGGCTCCCATGACATGCGCCCTACAATGAGCAAAGAATTAATACGCTCTTTGGCAATTTTTGAATTTTTCTTATGTCTAACAAAATGATCAAAGTGCTCTTATGTGTACAGGAAGAGAATAGTGCAACACATAGGTCCAAAATAGCCTTAAGGGAATAAAACTTGTAGAGAAAACAACATGGAATAGTTATGAGGAGCATTCTTTTGTGGAGAGAAAAATGTTTACCATAGAAATGCCTGATTTCGCAATATTTGTGCAAAAAAGTGACGAGAACTGGGGATGACATGTACTAGGAGCATTGAGAAATGTGTAGAGGACATAGATTCTCTAGTGATGATCAGATGTCTCCTTTTCTTGATTGATAATTTAACTATCATTTTCTGTCCAAACTAGTATTGATCCTTGGTTTCTGGATCAGAAAGTAACCATTGGGATGAAAATTAGCAGCATACATTAAGTGATTTGGTTATTTAACTATTGGGTTGAAGGCTTATATCTGATTTTTATTTGGGAACATGAAATACACTTTGACAAATTGATAGGAACATCCCTTATGCTTGCAAATAGAATTTGAAATCATATCCATCTACAAGAATTGATTTCTACATTTCGAGGAGTTAGAGTAGCCTGAAGTGAGTTGTGTCATATGACTTGAAGATCCGGATTCCATGATTATGATATAGCAGAGCAACAGTTTTCCAAGAAGAAGAAGAGTTGAGATTTCCAAGTTGGTTTTTGAATCTGTGACATTCCCTAAAATGTCCATAGAGGCCTATGTTGGATCATTCTAAGATACTTCAGTTTTGTGGGTTGCCATAAGCACGAGCTTTAGATCCTTAATTTCATTTGCACTTGTTGAATATTAGTGAATTCTTCACTTACGACTGCAAAGTAAAGAATTTGAGATGAACAAAGGCAAGATGACCTACCTTGTATTATGCAACTGTCATCAACACGTCCAAATCTTATGAAGTAAATGCAAACTTGTTCCCCCTGGGGCATTGAGTAAGGCGACTCTGGGTGGTGTGGGGATTGGATGGTCAAGTGCCTTGCTTTAAAGGAGTGGCATAGAAATAGAGGTATTAGATTGACTATTGGGGTCCATGAAGAGGGTTTATTTGTTTTGTTTTTGATGAATCTGTGAGGAGGCCATCACATAAAGAGATTTAGGTAGGATTTGAAAGAGGACAATGTGGGTCTCTTTCTTGTCAGATCCTCCTTGAGGACTCTGCTGGTAACGGATTGAAACTATCTTGGAAGTGCTGTTTTGGCAATCCAGGGCCCTCCTGCACAGGATAGGGCTGGGCGGTTGGAACCAGGAACCATTACCTTTTCCGGTCCATTCAGGTTCTTGGACTGGCTGGTTCATCGAGCTGGTTTAGGCTGATGGACCAGCCTGTCCAATGTCTGGATCCATCAATCCACTAGTTTAGGACTGAAGTGGCCGGCCCTGAAGGAGTAAGAAAAAGGTTCGTTATTGTGGTCCTTCTCTGGAGATCCAGTAACAACCCTCTTAAGTGTTTTTTTATTTGTTTTGGATTTGGACGAGGCAAAGAAAACAATGTTTTTTTTTTTCTATTTTTGATTCTTTTGAAGGGCTTTTACAATATGTAAAAGCCTTTAAAAAGCACCATCAAAAATGCAAAAAAAGGCTCTTTATCAAAATACACTTAATGTTTCAAGAGTTTAACTATTTGCCCCTTTTCAAACTATTCCAACTAGTGTTTCAAAATACGGGATGTGGTCGGGGGGCCAATGCGGCGATACAGTCTAGATGTGTTGCATCCATTACCCCGATGTGGTCAATAAATATAAAAAATGCCAAAAAATCTCAAAATAATGCATGGAAAAAATATAAAGGTGATTTATTCCTTCAAAAATAAAAATATAAAGGTGATTTATGTGATAGTAGGTATTTAATTTATTCATTAACTCCAATATTATCAGCTATTGGAGACTCTGAATCCTCTGATAGAAGACATTAGAAATAGAAAGTAGAAATTTGAAACTTACTATATAGAGGACATTAGAAGTCATCAAATTATCATAATTTATAAACATCCAAAAACTGTAATCACAAATTCGCAATTTAAAGTTACAAATTCCAAAGCAAAGAAATATACAACTACTAAAAGTCTATGAAGAGTTCAAGAGTCAAGACAAGTCATGTGCACTATGTTCGCCCACAAGCTATGAGGCCCATATATACTATGCACTACGAGGCTGCATATGCGCATCCCACCAAAGTTCATATGCGCCCCTATGCAATGCGCTTCAAGGCGTATAGTGCATTATGCGGCGATGGGGCTGCATTTAAAACAATGATTCCAAGTCATGGTTGTGTATTTTAATGGGTATTTTAAATTTAAATAAAAAGATACGGATAAAAACCATTCAAGCTACTAGTTTAAGACCGAATTGGCCGGTCCTGAAGAGAGTAAGAAAAAGGTCAGTTATTGCGGTCCTTTTTCAAAAATCCATGTACAACTCCCAAGTGAGTTTTTCTTTGGTTTTGGATATGGAAAGGGCAAATAATTTCTTTGTTTCCTGTTTGGGTTTAGGAAATTAGATCCTTTACAAAGATTTTTGTTTATGAATTTTTCATTTTTGGTTGTTATTTTTTATTCTTTTGAAGGGCTTTCACAATTTATAAAAGCCTTTAAAAAGTATAATTGGAAATGCAAAAAAGGGCAATTTATCAAAATATTCCTAATGTTTCAAGAATTTAACAATTTGCCCCTTTTCTACCCTTCCAACTCATCGTTGTCCATATTTATGGGTATTTTGATATTAAATCAAAAGATATAGGTAAGCTGTTAAATAAATAAAAGAGAAAAAAATAAAAAATTTGTTTCATGCATCGTTTTATTTTATTTTTTGCAATTTTTGGCATTGTAAAATTTTATGAATTTCACAAAATTTTACAAATAGTAAAATTTGCAAAATTAAAGGGACTTGTAAAATTAATGGGCTTTTACCATTTTTAAAAAACCATTGGAAAACAGAATATTCGAAAAAGAAAAGTTGTTCGTGTATTTTCTTTTTATTTTAGGTTTTGTATTTCTAACTTGTAAGGGCTTTTACAAAATGTAAATTGTAAACCCTGGAAAAGTAAGGACTGTTAATGGGAAAAACAGAGAGTAGAAAACAAAAAGTTATTTTGTATTTTTTTCATTTTCGGTTTCTTAAGGGCTTTCCCATTGTGTAGTTGTAAACGTTCTTAAAACCAGAAACAGAAAAATGATTTGTTTTTTAATTTTTAATTTTTTAGTTTTGATTTTTAAGGGATTTTACGAATTGTATAAACCCTTAAAATGCAAGAACAGAGAAGGCAAAACAAATTTTTTTATTCGATTTTTCCTTTTTTTTAAGGGCTTTTACAAACAAAAAGAAAAAAAAGAAATCGTTACTTTGTTATTTATGGACTTATGTATTTTTGGTTGCTTAATCGTAGTTTTGAATTTGAAGGGCTACAATCTGTAAAAGCCCTCAACAAGTAGAATTAGAAAAAGGAAATAGAAAAAATTCAATAGTAGTGTATTGTTGTACTACTTTATTCCTTCTTTTGAGCGTCTGGTCTAGTTCTTTTTATCATGTTATTGTTTTTTTTATCATGTTATTGTTTTGTGCTTGAGTATTGATGTATTGTTGCTTGATGTTTATTCACTTATTTGTTGCTTGTCGTAGTTTTTTTTTTTAATATATATTTTCTAGATTTATACATATTTTACATATTTTTTGCCTTTTTCCTTCTTCATAGTTTTTTATTTATTTATTTATTTTTTATTTTAATATTTGAATCTTCTAACCAGTCTGACGGTGAACTAGTCCGGTCCGTCCGGTCCAACTTCTTCGGTTAGCAGTTGGGGTCTGACAAAATTGCTCTTGAGTTATCTTCTTGAGAAATTTATGTACGGACTATATTTGGGGGGTCAATTATAAGATGAGAGCACGTTTGTCCCAAATTACGGGTGGCATCCCCCCCTCCCCGGTGTTTTTTTCACCCAAGTTACCCCCCTGTGTGGTAATCGAATACCGGACAAGTGTGTTTTTTAGTTTGAACGAAAAACAGCTGTCCGGTAATGCAAATACCAGACAGCTCTTTGAATCCCCAAAACCAACTCTGCCATTTCTTTCCCTCATTTCTCTCTTATCTGACTCTCTCTTTCCTCTCTCTCTCTCTACGGCCCAGAGCAGCCATCCATGGCATAGTGGTTACTTCACTGGGTTAAAGTTCTCTTGTTTAAGCGATCAAAGATCAGGAGCTGAAGAACCAGGAAGATGGGTCTCAATCAAAGCTCGATAAATTTGCAAATGGGGCTCGGGGCAAGAGATTGGGGAACTTCCGGTCGAGAGAGAGAATGGGTATTGTGTCTGTAATAGAGTTAGATAGAGGGTCTAGATCCGTGGGAGAGCTAGAGAGAGATCGAGTCTTGAAAGTCCAAACCCTTTTCAAGTGTATTTCCTCTGTATCTCTCTGCACCCACTTTTCCCCTTCAAGTGATTTATCGAAAACAAACTCCGAACGAAATGATTGAAATTTCGCCTTCTTTTGGCATCGAAAAATTGTAAAGAGAGATTTCGGAAAAAAGACGAGCATTATCTGGGCCTTCAGCTCTGTAACTTCTGAATATTTGTGGGTTTTGATCGAGGAGAAAAAGAGGGGGTTTTCATGTCTTTAGGAACCTCTTTAATTGAAATTCTTCATAATTACTCATAAGAAGTTAAAGCTAAATTGGGGTATTTTTTTCTCTGGTTTTGGCTTCTGCAACTTCAAAGGAGCTCTGGTTTTCTAGTATTAATCCGCGATTAATGGAGCAATAAGAAACTCACCTTGCTATTTTCTTTGTTACCGAGCCAATGCCTCGTCAAACCAAACCATCTCTTGCCTTTCTCCTCGCTTTTATCGCCATTAATGGCCCTGCTGCTATTAAACCTGTTTAATCTCGTGATCTCATAGAGCGACCTCTTCGAATTTATCGCTCTATTCTCTGAACTGCCATTAACGCCCCCTGATTCCTGCACAAGAATCTCTTCTCTCTTCATTGTTTCAAGAGAGAGAAGACCCACAATTCTCATGTTCTCTCTCTTCACATCCCAGCAGCTTTTTGGGCCAGTGCTCATTGGCACTAGAGAGACAAAGCCTCCTGCTCTCTCCACTCTAAATATGGGGTTTTGGGGTATGGGTATGAGAGAGAGAGAGAGAGAGAGAGAGAGAGAGAGAGAGAGAGAGACGTGG